TAGGGTGGGTGGTAACGGAAAAACTGAAATTTGAAAAAAAAAATCTTTTTTTGGGAGAGGGGGTAGGATGGGTTGGTGAGGGTGGGGAAGGTTGAGACGGAGCTTTGGAAAATGTTTCCCTTTTCTTGCTAAGGAAAACATTTTCCTCCAATTGGAGAAAAATGAATTGATAAGGAAAATGTTTTCCAAAACATTTAAGGCAACCAAACATGGGAAAATTGGAAAATATTTTCCGGAAAATATTTTCCTTCGTACCAAACACACCCAGTATCTCTTCATTGTAATTTAATCTGAATCAAAATTCAAGTATCCGCTTTATTCTTTAGATAAATCCTAAATAAGTTTATTATAACAAGAAAATAGAAAGAAATAAACTAGGAGCAAATCTATACCACGCACTCGTATACTCTAATTTCGACATTTACAATCACATGAATCAGTCAAACTATGTTAACACGACCAGCATGAGAATAACTTATAATTAACAATTTCAATAACCCCCAAAATCATTCCCAAAAAAATCAATTATAAATTCAAAATTACCATCATAGATTCATAGTTCTAGTCATAAAGAAATAAAAAAGTAAAAGAACAAGCACATAATAAAAGATTATCATCGAAAGAGACAAAGAATTAGTGCTAACTTGGTGCAATTTAGGTTCTTTGGAGTTTGAAAACTAAAAAGTGGGCAATCCTTTTTATACTAATTGAGGCAGTCCGTGAATTCTAATTGAGGGCAAAGAAACGGTACTAAATCCTATTTTTAAATAGTTGCTTGTATGGTCAAGTAGTTTGTAAAGTGGTCAAACAATTTTTAAATACAGCCCATACTTTTAGCAATAGGCCCGTAATTAGCAGCCACATTTTTAAATTAAGTGAAACTGTCGAAAAAAATATTTTTGGAGCTAAGGGAGTTCGAACCCGTGACCTCTCACACCAAACCTGAAGGCTGAAGCTGACAACAAATGGACTACTAAGCTGTTTCGATGGAAGCGGTGTCAGCTTTAATCCTTTTATCTGTAATTGTTGTTTTACTTATTATTTACATATATATGTAGTAAAAAAACTCGCCGAAGTGGTGTCCCGTGACACCGCTTGGGTCCATGTAAATCTGCTCCTGTTGTCATCTAGTATTAGCTTGTTTGGTTGTTCTTCTAAAATTAACTTTTTTTGAAAAAAATGTCTTTTTTCAAAAGCATTTTCTAAAAAATACTTCTAATAAGAACCAATTTATAATTGGCTAGTTAATTTGAAAAGTACTTTTGAGCGGCAATTAGTGTTTGACCCAGTTTTTAAAAAGTGTTTCTAAATATATCTTTCTCAAAAATTAAAACAATTTGAAAAAAATACTTTTCGAAAGAAAGCTACTTTTTTTTTTACTTCTCAAAAACTATTTATATATATCTACTCAAAAGTATTTTCTTTTTGCTTTTTAAAATTTTGATGAAACATCTTAACTTTTAAAAAAATACTTAAAAATACTTTTAACAAATAAAAAGCAAGGCCAAACAAGCTTTATGTGTCATATCACAGTGACTACTGATTACTCTGATAAAACTCCTGCTATAGAATCTTGTACATCTGTAGGATTTCATTGGCAAGACGTACATGGTTCCTGATAGTTCTCATATATCGGTTTGCCTATAGATTTGTGAATTTGGCGGGGAAGAAGTTTATAGCATCATCTTACAAAGTAAAACTTTCTCCGTTATAATTTATGTGGACCATAAATTGAAACAAAAGAAATAGACAAATATATTTTCAATTTGTTTGCGTATATAAGTGATAACATAAACCTTTTCATTATTTATTTTGTACAAAGTAGATTTTACATTTAACTAACTTTTTTCAAAAGAAGCTCTTGTACTAAAGAGTTACTGATGCACCAATAATCGCCAAAGACGAATTGAGATGAAAATTTTAAGAGAATACACTATACCACCACAAATACCACCTTTTGCAATAATTTGATTTTGATGAGAGAAATATGACAATTTTAAATTTAATGCAGTGATATGCTTTAATTGGTAATTTGGTATAATTCCAAATTTTAGGTTCAATAATAAGTTTTAAGAGAAATATATTAGGTTATAGAAAGTTGTATACTAAAAAATATTAGTATGCATAGATACGAGAGGTGAGAGAAGATCTCAAGAAAAATATATACGTTTTAGGTGAGAGAATCTCGATAAATAAATTATGTTTTCTCTAAAAATAATTATAACTTGTTTAAATAATTCAGTGTAATTCTTAAAAACTTTCAATACTGATACCCGCCCATATTTACGCAGGCCAAACTTGATGCTGAAATTTCCCTCCAATTGGTCAGCCGATTTCAGAGTAAATAAGAGTCCGTTTGAACATAAAAAGAATTTCACTTTTTTTTTTCTCGAATATTTTTACTTTTTTTCGAAATTAGTGTGTAGCCATAAAATTTCTAACTTTCACCGTCCCCAACTACGGGGGAAGTCACACTTTAACTTCCTGCCTTGACCTAGGCCTCACATCGATCGTTCTGTCCACTGAACTCATCAATCAACCTTGACCTTGACTCTCACTACGTACTCCAACTCTATCTATTAATGAAGACGCTTTATCTAATGAAGCAGGAAGAAGACTAGGAAAGCAATCGAACAGACAAGGCTCTGCAAGAGAAGAGCTAACTGGAGTACGCCTGGAACGACGAACGAGGAGTATGAGAAGAGAGTTTCGAAGGTCAGATCGGGTTGGCTTGGCTGGTAAAGCTTGTGTTCCAGGTCAATAAAGACTACAAGCTAGTACTGCTAACAAGAAGCTAACAAAGTGAGGCTGCTAAAGAAGAGCTTGTTCCGGTTCCAGATACGAGAATAAGAAGAACGGAAGTACAAGAGGACAAGAAGGAGAAGAGGCGAGTACAGTTTCACTTCAGTTTCACTTGCTTGGTAACCTCTTTCCCGGATGAATTTTGAAATTTTTCGAAAATTTTAAAAACTTTAAAAAATTATTTTTCAAAATTTACACTCAAATTACTCATAAAACTTCAAAAATAACTCAAAATTATATTTATGTCCAAACACAACTCTAATTTTCAAATACAATTTTAACTGAATTTTTTTTTTTTTGAAATTTTACAATGTCCAAACGGC